TGTCCCTGGGCCGTATTTTGCCCAGTCCTGCTCAAGGGGAAAATAACAATCAGCACTGTATAGACTATAGAAGAAACCAGTGTCCTGTCCTGATGCTAGCAGGAACATACCAAATATTATAGTGATCTTTCCCAGTAATTTAAAATGAAATTCATTTTATCATGGCCGTAAGATACTGTCTTCTTACCACATCAGGTTTTTAAAATGTGTGCCCGCCTGTAAATGAAGTTTAATGTCAGACTAATTAATTCACCAACAATGTCAGAAGAGCTGGTGAGCGCCCCTAAAGCTGAAATTGTATTCCAGTGCTGATTTAAGAATATGTGCTAGCAAGGATATGTGATATAAAAGGAGGAAATCATGGAATCATAGGATTGAAAGGGATCTCAAGAGTCCCCTGTACTCATGGCAGGACTAAGTATTATCCTGGCAGGTGTTTATCTAACCTAGAAAATACTGGGCTGATAGAGAGATAAGAGCCACAGTACTGCAGCTTTGTGGCAATGACTTAGAAAGGCAGGACTGTATACAGAAAGAAATTGGAGTGAACAAACTAGTGCCTAGCAGGTCAAAGTGGTCTCGGCAGGAAAGGTGTGAGTAATCGCCAATATTGTCTGATTATACTCAGTTCAGAGATCCATTCAGTGTCTAGCATGTGACCATGTGTGTAAGGTGCCAGGATAAGGGGCTTAGATACTTCAGCGGGGGGTGCAGCATAAAAGCCCAGTTGACAAGTGAGAGAGAGACACACACATGCCTCTTGGATCATTTTCCACAGGACGAGTGTGTCTGAGGCTAGGGGATCCCAGCATCCTCTCACCAGGCAACCTGAGTATGATTAACTGTGATTTTGCCCTCTCTGGAAAGCAAAGTGAGGGTGAAGACTGGAGAGAGAGCCCCCTGCCCCAGAACCTGCCAGTTATCCTGGTTGTGTAATAAGGAAAGGGAAGTCCTGTGTTAAGTAGCATATGATCCTGGTTAGGTTGCTGCCTGAGGGAAAAGTCCACATTCATAGATGCTGATGTGTGGTATGTTTGCCAGGAGCAACTTGCCTGGTAAGCTGGGAGGTGGGGGGAGGCCCAGCATTCCAGCTTTTGGAGGGTCATGGGCACATGGTATAAAGTTTGTAAGGCTATTTGCTTCTTCAAGGGTGTAGAGGGCAGGAAATAGTCTAATCCTCATTAGTTTGTGGACGTCCCCATCTTTCATCTATTTAAAAACTGTTCCTTCACCTAACTATACATGATATTTTATATGATCACTGGCTTCCCAGCCAGCTCTTAGCATTGGCTCTCTTTCATCCTCTTTAGGAGGCAGCTGCAGGGCATAGAGCTGAGAGATGAGTGCTTGTTAGTTACAGATGCGGCAGCCAGCAGGGGGCCACTATGAAGTTACTGGGCAATATTGCACTCAGAGCCCAGCAGCATTCCAGCCAGCGACAGCGTGCACCCACACACATGCATAACCACTCTCACACCCTATCCCGAGCACCCTCGTCTTCCCTCACAAACACAGTGCTCTCTCTTTCACCCATTTACACAGAGATTCTCCCCCTCATTCCCTGCCAGGGCAAAACCTAGCAGCTGAGGTTCAATAGGGATGTTGCAGTTGATTCCTGGAGAGAACGCAGAGGCAGGGAACAGAATGGTTTGAGCTGCTGGTCCTTTTCCAGTGGGAAAGGAGCTTCAGAGAGTGAGGAGCATCCCTGCCAATAGCTTCAGGACACCAGGGCTGAATGGGATGGATGAGCCCTTTCACTTAGTCTGCAGTGTTCCTGTCACCAACAAGACAGGTTTCAGAGGTAGCCACATTAGTCTGTTTCAGCAAAAACAACAAGGAGTCTGATAGAACCATAAATCATAAGCTTTTCTGCTTTATGCCATAGTAAAATTGTTAGTCTTTAAAGTGCCATTGAATTCCTTGTTGTCGCCAACATGTTTTCCCCGGGAATGTTATTAAAACAGGGATGAGTAGCAATAAGAGCCACTAGAGGGCGCTGAAACAATTGTAAAATATTTAACCTTTAAAGTTCTGTTTCCCTCACTGAAACAAAAGACAGGACTATGCAGCACTTTAAAGACTAACAAGATGGTTTATTAGGTGATGAGCTTTCGTGGGCCAGATCCACTTCCCTCACTGATATTCTCTTCTAAAAAGAGAGGGAAATGTGTCTTTTATTTGCTTTCCCCCCCTTACTGTCTGAATGTGAGATCTAAGATGTAGTGTAAATTATAGGGGAGGGTGGGGGGTCTGAGGACTATCCAGTTGGTTATTTAGAGTTAGCTAAAAAGATTAAATTGATAGATCGCACACAGAAACTTTGACAATCTTTTTTTAATGAAGACAAATGTAACTGAAATTATACAAAATCAATGTACATAAGTATAAGAATAAGATAAATATGGTAAAGTGATTTCTTGAATTGTTTATACTTAGTCTTACACAGGGAATAATACTTAGAACCTAATGGAAAAAAATTAGAAACAAAAATGTAAGAAAAAAAGGATGGAGCAGGGCCAGACTTCCCATGCAATTGTTCCATGGCATCATCTCTGTGTCCCAGCTCGGGATGGGTTTGACAACCTTTTTTACACCTTTCCTTATTCCACCCGCATACATCGAGGATCATCTTGAATCAAGTCATGTCTCATACTCTTGTTCACATTTGATATTCTAGGAGACCACTTTTGGGGATTCTGGTTGTCCATAATTACATTTCTGACAATTTAACCCAACCACTTGTGTCCATCCCATTTGCAATAATTTAGGTACATCAATACAGTTTGCTTTTACTGCAAAAAGCCCTTAACATGCTCTCTGTTTGTTTGTGTTTACCTGTTTATCACCAAATGCATTACTAACCTATCTTAAGAGACATATTGCTAAATTTTATAACATTAGGTCAAACACATATCCCATAACCTTTGGTCAAGCAGATAAAACTCATGGGCTACGTCTACATTGGCATCCCTTTCCGGAAAAGGGATGCTAATGAGACGAGTCGGAATTGCAAATCCCCTGCAGCATTTGCATTTACATGGCTGCCGCTTTTTTCCAGCTTGGGGATAAGCGGGAATAAGCCGGGGAAAAGCGCCAGTCTAGACGCGGCATTTGCATTTACATCGCTGCCGCTTTTTTCCAGCTTGGGGATAAGCCGGAAAAAAGCGGCAGCCATATAAATGCAAATGCTGCGGGGGATATTTAAATCCCCCGCGGATTTGCAATTCCGACTCGTCTCATTAGCATCCCTTTTCCGGAAAGGGATGCCAGTGTAAACGTAGCCATGCTGTTTTATACCAACTGGCAACTTGCACTAGGCCTCAGTCTAAGTCCTCAACATGTAATCCTTAAGACCTAGAGCCAAGCCTATTATGAATACATATATTTTGGTTCACAAACTTTTTTGTAACAACTTTCATCACTTCCATAACCCTTTACCCAAAAAATTTAGACCCTCTGGGATGGTCTAGACTACATGGCTCCATCGAGGGAGCCATGTAGATGAGGTTTCTAGACATAGGGAAATGAAGCGGCAATTTAAATAATCACCGCTTCATTTACATCAAAATGGCTGCTGCGCTGTGCCGATCAGCTGTTTGGTGGCACAGCGCGGTAGTCTGGACACTCCGCAGTCAACAAGGGAAGCCCTTGTCGACCGCCCCATTATGCCTCATGGAATGAGGTTTACTGGAGCGTCAAGACTACCACGCTGTGCCGCCAAACATCTGATCAGCACAGCGCGGCAGCCATTTTGATGTAAATGAAGCGGTGATTATTTAAATTGCCGCTTCATTTCCCTATGTCTAGAAACCTCATCTACATGGCTCCCTCGATGGAGCCATGTAGTCTAGACATACCCTCTGATAACAGGTCGGGGTCAATGGTCAACGAGGTAGGCAGGTTGAACAATCTGTTTGGCTAACAGGGCTATATAAAGAAGGGTTTTTACTTTTCAGAAATGCAGACATTGGTTACTTCAGTTCCTGTTGTTTTATTGAATGAGCTTATATCACAACAATGTCAATCAAAATATGGAACAGACTCTATAGTGAGTACTGTAGTATCTGTAGGGAGTGTTTCTAGTGAAGAAAAAAGTGTGCCTGCGAGTCAGGACCCCTGGTTTCTATGCTTGTCTTAGCTAGCGGGCTGTTGTGTGACAGTTACCAAGTGCTTTAGCATCCCCGAGCCTCACTTTGCCTGTCATCTAGCAGATTTTTAATACTAAATAAATAATAAAGTTAGGCTAATACCTGCTGCACACTTCGGTTGAGATTCATTGTTGTTTGTGAAATCACTTTTGAGATTCAGATTTAATGGAAATGTAAAATATTATCATGTTAAATGCCTGTTTATTCAAACCACATTTCTGGACTTCAGCTGAGCAGGATACAATGAGAGCCAGGGATAGCAATGGTTTTGCTTGTTTTAGGGTTATAAAGCTTTCTGCAGTCCAGGTGAAGATCATGTCTTTAAAATCACAAGTATAATATCAGTGTCTCCCTCTCACTTTTGAAGGATATTAATCCATTAGTTTAGGATTTGACTGGTTAAACTGCTATAAACCTAATTCACCTTCAAAAGAGTGTAAAATGAAATGTCTCTAGTTGCTAGGGACAGACTGATACAACTCACTAAGGACTCCACACTGGAGTCCTGTAGACATCAGAAACTTATACTAATAAATTAGGCTGGCACTGGGGTCATTGACATGTTCATTTATAAACTCCTGCTATCAGGATATTTAAAATGCAACCATAAAACTTCACTTCTGGAGTTAAACTTAATAATGAAGTTGTTATCCAGGAACAAATTCTGTTTAGTTAAAAGTTTGTTATGAAGGGGAAAGCAGCCCCTTCTTTGGCTGGTTTTCATTGCTAGAATTGTGACATCAATGCTCTTTAAGTGTACAGTGTGTCTCACTGCTGTGTTTTGCCTGGTGGTGTAGTGTGTGGGGATTCAGACCAGTTACACAGTTAACATACCATGTTTGGATTTTGCAGGGTGACTATGACCGCAGTAAAACCAAAGTGCTTCACTTTAGCATGAACCCAGCCAGCCTGGCTAAGCAGCAGCGAAAGGATGAACAGCACCAGCTCCAGGAAGAATGTGAGAAGCTGAGAGAGATGGTCAGGGTCCTGGAAGGAGGAGGTTCTATCCCTGAGAATCTGGAAATAGTTGGAAGTTTGCAGTCACCCCAAGAAGTTGCAGGTACTTTGATAGCCTTTTGTCATGTGACTGTCCTAGTGTTGCTATTCAAACTGATACATTGATAGAGCAATTGACTAAATGAGTAGATCAGGGACATTACAGGCATTGTGGCAGGCGGGATATCATGAAGGAAATTGGGAATGTGGTGCAGAGGATGCCAGGTGGGATTATATATACATAGTTCTTATATACATTAAATGATGTGACCTTGGCTGGGCAGTGTTGATAGAGGTCAGGAAAAAAAAATCCTTCCTTTCATGGCTGAGCTTAGCTCTAGAGATCTCATGGACAACAGAAAATAATTCAGCAAGTGACTGAATTTTTATTCTGACCTGGTTTTAAACAAATGAATATTGTTTATCAGTATATATGTGCCCCATTAATCATAGCAAAAAACTGAGACCTTATAGTACAGTAGCTGTGAGGTTCGGCACCTTCCTATACACAGTTAAAACTCTGTAAACCAAGGTAGTAATATCATTAAAGTGTGACTTGTCACCTAAAGCATTGAGATGTGACTAGGCAGAGTTGATTTACACGGCAGAACCCAAGAGATCTAACTATTGAAACTCAGACCTACATGTACTTCCCCTCAAAACTTCCCTGCTATAGCGGAAGAGAAAAATAAACCAATTTACACAACAGAAGGAGGGGCCATGGGGAGCTAACATGTAGTGATGTGTATGGCTAGTGCCTGCAGGTAATAATACTTTTTAAAGTGTGGGGCCCAGAAGACAGTGCTTTTCTCTAAGGCTTCACAATCAGAAAATTTTGTGACCCATGAACCTTCTCAGCCTTTTAAAGAAATCCCTGATGAAAGTGGCTCTCGTTGTTACGACACTGAAATATTCTGAAAGTAATTTGTTAGTTTTTCCATTAGCTCAAATGACAGTATTTCATTGTTGCTAAGAGTGTGTTTATCCCAACATCTTTGTGGATTATGGCACTAAATAAGTACAAGTAATCACACTGAACATCTAGGTAGCCTGTCTCAGTGAGGTATGGCATTCATTTCTCTGTGGGGAGGGAGCATTAAGAGATCCCTGAAGTTAGAGGTACAGCAGTCCATCCCCACTGTTGTTTATCTATTTATAGGAGCACTCGCTAGTTGCTTCTAAACATTTAAGGAGGATAGTTCCCATTCCAAGGAGTTTCCACTATAAGAATCCCAGAGGGACAGAGGCTAAGTCTAGACTGCAGGCGTCTTTCAGAAGAAGGTTTTCCAAAAGAGATCTTCCAAAAAAACTTCTTCCAAAAGAGAGCGTCTACACAGCAAAAGCGCATCGAAAAAGCGATCTGCTTTTTCGAAAGATAGCGGCCACTCTGAATGGACGCTATTTTGCATTTAAGCTGTGATTACTATGGACAGAGTGACCACCAGAGCACTTGTGCTTTTTCCTCTTTCCTCTTCTTTCGAAAGAACTCTCTCTTGCCTGTCCACACACACCTTTTTCCGAAAAATCTCTTTTGGGAAAAGGCTTCTTCTTCATAGAAAGAGGTTTACCAATGTTGGAAAAACTACTCTTTTTTTAGAATGCGATTGCAGTGTGGATGTAAGTGACGTTTTTTGGGGAAAACGGTCATTTTTCTGAAAAAAGCTCTACAGAGATTTATTAGGAAAAGTGTATACCCTGCAATTCAAATCTGAATGTTACTGTTTAGATTATAATAAATGTGTCTCTTAGTGCCTATCTCTCATGCTTCTGCACAGACTAGCTTGTTTAATGCTGTAGATATATCTGTGGATGCCACTGCCCCCCACACCCACTGGGTTCTATTGCCATCAGTGGCAGAGAGAATGCAGAGGAGAGGTCATATATTTGGCTCTGCCACTACTGAATGAATCGCTGGGGTATAATATAGTCTAATTAGGTCATTTCCTCTGGGGGATCATATTTCTTGTATATGCCCCATGTGATTTGCTGTTCATTATTATCTGCATCTTCACCCTCAGTTTACTTGTAGCTATTCGTAAGGCATTTCTCTGCCAGAATGCTACCAAGTTTGTGTCTAACTCAGAGGGATACATTTTTAAGTTGTTCTCTGTTCTTTCTTTGATTCTGACAGTAAAACAAACAGCTCTCTGGGCTTCAGTTTATTTTCAGCTTGTCATGTGTAGTGTGTGTCCCTTCTCTCCTGAGCCCTTGCTACGTCATTCTGACTTTTGTTTGCTGACTTGTATGGAAGAGAGAATGTCAGTTGCAGTGTCTAGCTAGGGTCGGGTATGGTTTTCGCTTCAGTCTCTAGCAGTCATTTATCACATTCACAGGAGGGACCTCTGCAGCCTCCAGGTGCGTCTCTGTGCACACTGAAGTATTCATGTAAACAAAATGGAAAAAATAGCTAAGAACTATGCATGGGGATGCGGGGGTGTTCCCCGGATGGATTGTGAGATCAGAAGGTACCAGCATGCTATTGGTTGTATAAAGGAGTAAAAGAAGAGCCCCCTTTCCTCATGCTTCATTAACTTTTGTGAATCATTCTCATGTACAGACACTGCTGACAACAATGCACTAATCTGTTTAACACCTTTCTTTCACTGCAAAACCAGCTTTTTTTTTCAGTGGCATAGTCAAAATTAAAATAACGATTAACATAGTTGAAAACAACGTTACTATTAGATGTGATAGGTATGTTGAGCTATACAAGTTGGGTGCTATTTGAAGGCATTCATGGTACTGATACATTACTACTAAAAGGGTTAGATATACCTTGTTTTTTACTGTTCTAGGAATACTTAGAAAACATAGGTCACTACAGGAAATGGAGCTGAGGCAGTGCTACCATGTGCCTTCTTCCACTGTAGCTTCTATACAAGATGCAATTCAGTCACTTGCTAGGGAAGCCACAGGGAGCCAGTGTTTTCATGCAAAATGCCATGGACTGGAATGTCATTTGCATCACTTTTTGAGACAGTTATAGTATCAACCTGTGAAAGGATATGAGCAAGTTGAGCACTGAACTTTGGAGGTGGACAAACCCTGCAGATGGAGGTGGGCAACATTGGTGGAGTTGGATAGAGAAAACCTGGGACTGATTTCTCCTACTACAGGAAAAAAGTGGCTGTGTGTTTTGCTCATAAGAAGCACACGAAATCTTTCAATATGCCTCATTTATTAAAGACCTAATACAGAGAGATCAGCACACACACACACATAGTCCCACCAACAATGTTATAGTTACCAGTCGGAGACTCGGACCAATCTAGTGGCCAGTTAGGTTGGAGTCAAGTTCTGTCATATTCTGATGCTTTGAGGCTGCTGCTTAGCGGGATGAACCCAGAGAAACCTTGCAAAGCTACCCTCTCTAATAATCCTCAACTCCCATTTGAGTAGATGGGTGTTGTAGTCATGTTGCATGCAAACTTATTGACGCAAGTGTTTATCTTTGTTGTTTTTCTGGCATTTGAACATTTGTGCTCTCAGGGTGAGGCCCCATATGGATTTCAGCATGTCTGCTCCCAAGGGTCAGGGCACTTAAATCAAGTACTTCCTTCCCCACTAGGATCACACAGACACACACTTAAAGCAAGGGTACTTCCTTCACCACTAGGGTCATCAGTCTGCTCCTCAGCATGATGCAAGTGTTTACATGATCTTCCAGTACCTCTGTAACCTCAGCTTCCTCCTCGCTGTTCTTTGGTACATCTACACCTAGAGATGACTTTTAAACTTACCAAATTAACTCATTCTTCACTCATCACGAAACACTATCACTACAAAGAACAAAACTTCCTTTATAATTACAAATCACAAGGTTCTAGAATATCTACCAATTACATCAACAAACCCTATAACATATGGGGACGGTAATCAGTCACTAAGAGTGTCCTGGTCTGTTCCTGCCTTGACATAAATAACAGATGCAGGCAGCCTGTCTGATGCATCTCTACCAGCAGCACTAAGGCCATTCTTTTCTGTTAATCAGAAAGGGTGGCTGACGGGGTACACTGAGGGACATTGCATAAGGCTTATTGCTACATTCTTATACCAACACTAGAATGCTACATTTTAGCTACATGTATTGGTCAGTCAAAAAGACAATGAGGGATTATGTATATAGCTTTGCTTTTTAGCACTTTGACAGGTGATTTAATATAAAATTTGATTGTCACATTCTGCTAAGCTTTGTCCTTTAGCAGTACCCATGTACACTGAATGGGTCAGTCAGAAATGAGAAATTTGGATGGACTTTAGCCAATCAGCTTTGCTACATTTAGCAAGCTTGTCTTATCTGCAATTATGCTTAAGGTTTGAAGAATTATAATTATTGCAACCAAAAATGACATTAAGGACAATGATGCTGATGGTTTTGATAATAATGTGTTGGCTAATATTAAATGTTCTCATTGGGTTGGAATGTTGCACGTTTTTCTCTGACCACAGTTCCAATTCCTGGACAGGTAATAAGGAAATTATTATGGTGGACGCTAAAGCTCATTAAATGTGACTCTATTAAAAATCAAGGTTATATTGGACTTTAAATCTCTTTGAGCATAACCACTGGAGGCTGCAGCACAACTTGGCAACTTGCCACAGAGTTCACTCGGCCTTTTCTCTCATTTATGCCGTAACAGTTTCTATTAAAGTGGATAATATGGCTATTGCAAAGGAGAATTTTGGACAGCGTGAGCTATAACCACTTATTGTCCTCTATCCTGAATTATAAAAATGGGACTCAGGACCATATAGTATTAATGGGGCAGAGTTGTGGAAGCCCTATTTTTGGAATGGGCTGAAACTTTATGGGTGGTTTGTTTCTCTCTTGTCGCCATCTCTAATATGAATTGCATAACAGCGGACTATGGACCAAGGTGAAGCTGCCATCTGCGGAGCTTTTCTAATTTTCCTGTCCCTGAAACAGGAGTGCAAACTGTAATGGCTTTGAAAAGGTGGGGGAAGGGAAACATTGCCCTGGCTTGCAGTGAACTCCACTCCTTTTATCTTCTCATTTCTTCCCACTCTTTTCCTACTTTTCCTGTTCTATGCTGTCTTCATCAT